AAAATGATGAGACTGGTTTTAAATCATGAAATGCTTGAAATAAGATAGGTTGGGTTCTTTTTACCTTTTGCCACCTGAACCTTAGGAGTTAAAATTTGAAGCTTTTGTTAACAGCACTAAACTCTAGAAACTTGCTTTATACACCAAGCAATGCTGCTTATGTTAGAAAATGGTGCCAGCAACTTAGGCTCTAAGGAAAACGCCAAGTACCCTGAGAACAGGCAATAGCGCGAGGATTTTATTTCACAAGAATCCTGTAAAAATAGAGACCCCAGACAAAATGAACTTAAACAAAACACAATCCTGTGAAGTTTCTCCCTGCCTGCCGAGACGCTGGGTCTCTCCCAAACCCTGCCACAAGCTTGCACTAGATTTGGGCCGAGGCCAAAGTATCGGTGGAATCCAGAGACCCACAATAAAAAATTTGTCTTTTTAAATAGCGTACCAGTCAGAGACCACAACCTGGTAGTGTGCAGCACTGTACAAACACAGAACAAAAGATGATCCCTGGCCAAAGAGCTTCTCATCCAAGTATCTCAACTTTTAATTTATATTCAGTTTTCCTTCGGCTGTGAATTATTTAAACAAAGACACATACATTGAATAAACTGCCGAATTGTTTTTTAAGATGATTTATGATCTCATATAATGAAATGTAAAGGGGCATATGAGACTATAAAGTCTAACCACCACTTTAATCCCACAGTACCTCAAAATAATCTCTGACATAGGCTCTGGGATAGTGTCTGTATTTGGACTGCTTTTCTCAGAGCACATTTCTCCTCCCTCTTTCTGCTGCTGGTTGGCTGAGGGTGATGGCGATCCTCATGGAGGCAGGGGTAGAAGAGAGCATTTTAACAGTTATGGAAATAGGAGTATTTAAAAAGAAAGAAACACCAGAATCCTTTAGTACCCAAAATAATCTGCAAACTATTTATTATCTTGCTACTTTGAATGCAAACAATAAACAGTTTGGAGTATCAGTGTCCCTGATGAAATCCAAAACAAAAGCGAGAAGGTCAAATATCCCCTCTGGCAGGAAAGAAATGCTTTCAGATATACCTCACAGTGATTCTGTTAATATTGTTTCCTCTAAGTTTGGAAGGGCAATTGCTCCCAGCCTCACAGAGCATGGAGAGATGGGGTCTGCAGAAGCCACAATGTTACTGACAGAGTTCTCCTATACCAGCCCAGTAGCACCTGTGGAGTGATGTAGGCATACACCCAAGTTACCAAGGAACAGCGCCTTTAAGTACAGCCTCTCCACCTCTGCCCCTCTGGCATCTCAGGTGAGGGCCTCTTGCTGGAACAAGGGCTGTGTCTAGACTGGCATGATTTTGCGGAAATACTTTTAACAGAAAAGTTTTCCATTAAAAGTATTTCTGCAAAAGTGCGTCTAGATTGGCACAGATGCTTTTGTGCAAAAAGTGCTTTGCGCAAAAGCATCCGTGGCCAGTCTAGACGCAATTTTGCGCAAGAAATCCCTGATCGCCATTTTAGCCATCGGGGCTTTTTTGCGCAAAACAGTTCTTCCCTGTCTACACTGGCCCTCTTGTGCAAGTATTCTTGCGCAAGAGGGCTTTTTCCCGAGCGGGAGCGGGAAAGTATTTGCGCAAGAAGCACTGATTTTGTACATTACAAAGTCAGTGCTCTGGCACAAATTCAAGCGGCTAGTGTAGACAGCTGGCAAGTTTTTGTGCAAAAGCACCTGCTTTTGCACAAAATCTTGCCAGTCTAGACGCACCCAAGGAGTGAAGGGAAATTACAGTACAGTGGAAGAGGCATGCCCTGTGCCCTTCCCTTCCCCCAAGCGCACAGGGGAAGAACTGCCCACAGAGCATCCCCTCCCCCTGGGCTCATTCAAGGGGACATTCTGGACCATGCTGATTTGATGAGCTTCTGCCTCATCACATCCCTTAGGTAAGCACCAGTAGCCGACTATAAATACTTGTTTTGGCTTATTGCTCCAGTAAACACTGCAGATAAAAATGCTTTTTAAAATCCAAATGACTATTGCTTGATGAAGAAACATGATTGACCCCTGGCATGCAGCACAACAGCAGCAGCTTCCCAGCCTGACGTCTAATTCCTTTGTGTGTGGGGAGAGAATTTGCCTGGGAGGACACAGACCGTGGCTTTATTTTGTCAGTAAAGCCCATCTTCGACGGCTCAGAGAAAGCCGACCCTCACATTCATCTGTCCCGGGAAGGGACTGAGTCTGCTCCCCCCTCTCCCAGCCTGACTGAGCTAGGAGCGGTGATGAGGGTTTACAGGAGAGCTTAGATACAAAGACCGCTTATGATGTCAATATTAAACAGGGATGAAATTAACACACTCCTGACCGGGGCAAACTAAGCAGGCCACAGGGTTTTGTTTTTGCTGTTGTGAGACTTGATTTCATTTCCCTTCTCCACCTGCCACCTCCCCACTTTCCATCCTGCTGCCCCTTCCTTTACCACATACCCAGCCAGTCTCCTGAGGGAGGGTGGGCCACCCACAACAAAAGAGAGCCAACGAATTACATCAGGGCTGTGTCTAGACTGGCAAGTTTTTCCGCAAAAGCACCTGCTTTTGCGGAAAAACTTGCCAGCTGTCTACACTGGGCGCTTGAATTTTCACAAGAACACTGACGATCTCATGTAAGATCATCAGTGTTCTTGTGGAAATACTGTGCTGCTCCCATTCGGGCAAAAGCCCTCTTGTGCAAATCATTTGAGTAAGAGGGCCAGTGTAGACAGCACAGGACTGTTTTGCGCAAAAAAGCCCCGATGGCTAAAATGGCGATTGGGGCTTTTTTGCGCAAAAGCGCATCTAGATTGGCACGGATGCTTTTCTGCAAAAAGTGCTTTTGCGGAAAAGCGTCCGTGCCGATCTAGATGCTCTTTTCCGAAAATGTTTTTAACAGAAAATTTTTCCGTTAAAAGCGTTTCCGGAAAATCATGCCAGTGTAGACGTAGCCCAGGAGAATAAACAATGCAGGGACAAGAGTGGTGCTTGATGAGCCATAAAAGGTAACTGGGAGGAAAAAAACCAGGACAATGTGCACTTTTTGCACTGGCTAGTTTCTCCCACAGATACTCTCCCTTCCCCTAGTATCACAGACCCACACAACCTCTTTCCTTTGCTGCTTGCCAGAGACCTCCCCATTTACTTGTCTTGCTTTACCTTGCCTGGCTTCATACACCATCAGAGTTCTCTCCTCCATTGCCTCGTTACTGCCGTGAGCGACCCATCCACCCTACTAATTCTTGGTTCTTCTGCTGTCGCCCTTCCTGCCTTGCACCCTACTCCAACACTCCTCCCCTAACATTGCACATTTCCACCAGACTATCCTGAATTTCTCCTTATTTACTGGTGCTTTTTAGTACAGGTGTGATCTCAATAGGCCAGACTGCTCTGGGCCGGCATTCCCATGGGCTCTCCCAGGTTGGAGCACTCAGAGAAAAGCTGGATCCACACTCAGCAACTCCTTCCCTCGCCCTCCCAGAGCTTCTGGAGCGCTGCAAATAGCTCATTTGTGAGCTCAAGCTTGGGGAGGAGCAGAGATTGGGGGGGACACTCAGAAGAGGCAGAGGGGTGTGGAACCCCATAGGCCTGCACTACTGGCCCCCAGTCATGGGGCTCTGCAGCCACCCTGCCTTTTCCCCCTACTGCCTCCTCCCAGTCTCCACTCAGTCAAAGCTGGCCCCTCTGCTGCTGCTGGAGCGGAGCCCAGTAGCCAGCAACAGCAGAGGAACCAGCATTGACCTCCCCAGTCCAGTAGATTCCCGGGTTCAGGACTGGTCAGATCCCCTGTATTGGGTCTGGTGCAGCTCTGTGTCACCTAGGATCTGGACAACAGAGAGAGCAGCAGGCCTGGGGGCTGCTTACTGAAGTTACCAGAGGGCAGTCCTTGACCTGAGTGTCAAAAAACCCCAGCTTCAAGTAAGTGGAACCCTTTTGTGAGTTGGGGGCCTTTGTGGAAAGGGGAGGATGAGAGAGGGAATTCTGTGAGTTAGACTAGGATCTCAAGTTCAGCATTTCTCTCCAAAACACATCGCATGTCTCTATGGGTATTTGCAATCTTGACGCTGGGATGTAGGTTCACAGTGCCGAAGCTGATTGTGTGTGGGTTTGCACGCCTTTATGCTGTATCGATCTCAGTTTTGTAAGTGTTCTCTTACTATGGGTTTTGCAATGCTGAGTTTGAGTGTTGTACGTTTTCTTAAATGAGCCTTAGCACTAGTGTGACTGTAGGGTTGGATATTTTTCGCTTATTTATTTTTGCAATATCAAAAATGCTTTGTGCATTTTCTTACGGATTCGTGCAAGCTAGAGGCAGTACTTCATGTGCCTGGCGAAAATAGATCCAGTTCCAATGTATATAAACTTCTACTTAAAGTCACTTTAGTTCAATGAAGATGTTTCCACGGACTGAAAATGAGCTCTTATTTCTGTAGTTCTTTTTGAAGCCCTGATCATTGTGAGATTCAAATTAAACTAAAATTCACCAGACCTCCTTTTCCCCGGCTTCTCGGGGGAGCAGTAAAGCATCAGCCAGGATATCCCCTGGGCTTGCTGGACAGCCCTTGTCCTCCGCCTCCTATTTGACCCAAGCAGATGCTGTTCTTCTGAATTTACCAGGAGATTCCTGTTTCTAATCCATGCATGAAAAGCTGCGGTGTATTTCCCGCTGCACAGCCTTTAGAGACACCGAAGCAGCAGGTGTTTCTCACAGAGAATTTCCAGCTTCTGTGAGACTAGGGAGCAATAATGCCCAAGGCAGCAGTCCCTCTGCCTAGGTACCCGTATTTTGCACCCCGCTCTCACAGCCATAACTATAGGCATGCCTGCCCCTCCCAGCTTATTCTCCTCTCTTCTCTACCCACCTTACTCCCCCCACACTCTTCTTCTTGTGACCAACCCCCCACACACTGCTCCTCCTCCTTTCCCTCCTCTCCATGCTTTCTTATCCTTTGCTGAGTTGCAAGCTCTGCACAGGCCCAGGCTCCCTGCTCCCAGCCTCCATTTTGTTTCTTCTTTTGTCTGGGGGGAGGCAGGAAGAGGCGTCACCTGTAGCAGCAAAGGAAACTGCATCCCCTAATCCCTTCTCCATTTGTTTTGATGGTCTTCAATCTCCACTCCTCTCTCCTCTGCACACACCTGGTTACCAGCAGAAGGAGGAGCAATCTGAGTTTCCAGAGGAAACCTGAACTCTCCTGGCTTTGGTGTTCTCCTTTAATTGCTGAGCATCTTTGGAAATCCCCTCCAGGTAACCGGGGCAGGCAGGCTGGACACAAACGCTTCTCTGAGCAGGGCAAAGGTGAGTACCATGGGGGCCACATGTTCTCTTATCTTCTGTCACGATAAGATTTTTTCCTTTTAAAGGCATGTCTTGGTGAATAACAAAGCAAAGTGTATGGAAGTGAAAGGAGCTGCAGAGAGCCAAAACCTAGAGGTCTGTGAGTATTTTGCGGGGGGCAGAGAGCTGGACTCTGGGAGGGGGTCTCCCGTGATTAAGTCCGGTGATTAAAACTGAAACAGTAATTAATCTGCAGTGGGGTTTTTTTCCCCCAAAAAGAGAGGAGGACCTCTCAAAGGAGGCATTTGTTTTCCGTTTTAAACAGATCTCATCCAGCTCTGTAAAAGGTGATCCTCTTTCCAGGAGAAAGGCCTGAAAGGTCTTCTAAAATGTACATGTTGTCTTTTAATGGCTTTATGCTCTATGATGTAGAGATTTTAAAAGAAAACAAATATATTAGGTGTCTCCCTCCCCCCACACACATGCAACTTTTTGGATTGTAGAGATGCTGAGCTGCTGTATCCAACTCTCTTAGGTGTGTTTTGCTTTTTGGTACCAAGAAAGTTGCGCTAAAAGCAAGAAATGAGTGCTATAGTGGGTTTACCAACTGTGATTTCTTCTTCTTGTTGTTTTGTGCTGTAATATTCCATCAGAGAGCAACATTCCCAGCACTGTACCACATGTTCATTGCATACATTTTTGGAGCTCTCAGCAACTTGGCACACAACAGCCAATGCAACCTGGAAAAAAAATCACTGCTCCACACCTGAATTATACCATTGTTCTAAAGGATATTGTTGGTTTTATTTTCTCCATTGCTACCCTAAGTAAAGGATCCATCATCACTTCAGGAATATCTTTTATCTTATGCTGTTTAGAATGATTGACTAAAAATTTTCTCTGAGCTGTAACCTGGTTTACAAAAGTTTCAATCTAGGTACAAATAGATTTAACAAAACTCAAATGGGGTCAATTATTTTGCTGTGTTGAATTCAGAGTCTGCACTAGGGAACTGTGTTTTGTGTGCATTTGTTACTCATAAATTCCCAGATTAAAATTAAAAACTTGTACTTGGTGCATTTTATGAATTAGGAAAAGAGATTAAAAGAAAGAAGCAAACCGTTTGTACAGTATTTAGATTGAACACATGAAATACTGCCTGGGAAGAGAGAGTCATTGTATAATAACATTTTTTTAAATGTGGGGAGGTACATCAACAAGGCAGACAATATAAATGTAAACCATTTGGTTTCAATAATCTATGTATTAAACAATGTAATCATTTGATGCAAAACACCAGTTGTTGTGTTGTGCCTACCTGCAGAGGTGATGGTTAAGGTCCTGATACAGTGAACACTTATGCATAAACTTAATTTTAAGCACCTATGAAATCCTATTGGAAGCTAATCATGTGGATAAACATTCTCCGGATTAGGTCAACAGTTTGACCAATGGTCAAAGACCTCTGCAACAAGAACAAGATTTAAGAAGAGTCTTTTTAATTTGTATTATGTTCTTGTTTTTCTATTTTTTTAAAGCCATTAGTGCTCTGTATATTCTTTTCATTAAATTCTATTCTGTTACTACTCTCAGGGGAATTGTAGATAAGGTATAGTTTCTTATCTGATAATTGCATTCACATGCTTAAACATTTAAGAACAGTCACTTGTACATAATGAAGTTCTTGGGCTTTTTATTTGTGCTTATTAATAATTCACTGGTTAGATAATAGTGCCAGGTTAAAACATCAGAAACATTTATACTATTTTTTTAATAGTAAGCTAAGTTTTTGTTTTCAAATAATAAAACTTAATTTGAAAAAAGAGCTTAGGGGCCAGACAGGCAATATACATAATCTTCCTTGTCACTCTGTGCTGTCTAGAGTTTAATTTTGCCTCTGCCAGCAGCTAGTATAAAATAGCAGAAATAAGGTGTAGCTTTCAGATGAACAGAGGCATTTGGTACATCAATGAGCTGATGTTACCCCTGTCTGCATCTTGGGTTAGTTCTGTGCTGAACAGCAACGGCTTTCCTCCTTTTACATTTCTGAGCTCTCCTTTAAAAAATGTAAACAGGTACTATTCTCAGCTGCTATTCCCTGTGGTTACAACCCTAAAAACAGAACCGTACAGTCAAGTCATGTAAAGCATCTCGGAGATAAAGCTAAAACTTTAGTCCGAAGTCAACTTTTTGTGTAATTGTAAAAAATCAGAGGAAAAACCTATTTACTTTTTTCCCTTTGCTTGTGTATTTGACCACAGTACATGTATGGTCTGTTTCATTTTCCTATAGTCAGTTTCCTTCTTTGAGTATTTTGCACCAGCAATTAGGGACATAAAATGAGGTGACTGTAAAACTACAAAATTTAGCAGGTAGACTTTGTAGGGTAGACATGTGGGCTTAAGTATTGTGCTGATGGTCACTTTAGGAAATCATACAATAATAAATAGTGCCTGAAACTGCGTTCAACTTCATATTTTAAAATCTGATTTGAATTCATGTGAACAGTCTTCTTTGAAATTAGATCTTGACTGTATATGGCATAGTGACATGTGATCATGTAGGTGGAGGTTTAATATTTTGGCATATAATAGTGTGAAACATGTCACTAATCGTATGTAGCAGTCCTAATGTAGATCCACAGCGTTCGCTTCACATTCTTTTGAAGCCGTTATGCTATATACTGTAAAGGTGTGTGTATACATCTTGCATCCATTAGAGCAAACCTTTGCCAATTGTGTGAAAGTGGCTTTTGTTTTCTCTTGGTGGCTTGGCTGTTTTACTTAATTTGCAAACTCTAAAAGGTTTGGATCCCCAATGAGCTCTAAATATTTATTTTGTTTTTTACAGGAGTCAGTTCAGTGACAAGCTACACTTTTAACGAGACAATTGTATTAAAACCAACAACCATTTATTTCACACTTCTGTGACCTCAACTGTCTTTGAGAACGGGGTGGGGGTGGGGGAGATGTTGGAGGGGCAGTGGAGTGGAAAATGTTAAGCCACTCTCTGGCTCAGACCCTGGATGTCATAATTCTTATTGATGAGTTATAACTACTAAATTAACCTAGTATAGAAACCCTATTAGGTGCAGCTATAAGCAAAGAATCATCTAGAGAGAATGTTTTCAATTTTTTTTAAATGGCTAGATCTTAGAAAAATTCCATTCAGAAAGAGCCCCGTCAGCAACAAAAATCTCTATTAATTAAGCAGAAGCCATGTTGTGAACCTGTCTAAGTAATCTCTTACTCAATTAGGAAATGGGACTAGGGACTGGCTAAGTGTAAATGAGGTTGACACCTGAAAACATCTCAGTCTGAGCAATGCTGTGAGCACACTCATTAACTATTAGTGCTTTAGTTTAAAGTGCAGTTCTGCATTCAATAGGGACTGTAAAAATAGCACCTTCTTACTCAACCAGTCCCTGTCTTTGTGTGTATTTAAAGTCACATCTGCTCAGACAGATGGCATTGCGCTTGTTTGTGCTGCAGTGCTAACAGCATAGATAGAGGAATGAGCTGGATTCTCTTTCTCCTTTGTAAAATGTTTACCAATTAAACGCCTATGAGTCTACACCTGTGTAATCAGCTGACTGGAATGGAACTGAATGGATGGTAATAAGGCCTTAATTTGGCCTGCAGAATGCATGGGAGTGAAAGAACCTCGCTTGTCCATGTTGGATTGGTAGGGGTGGCATCTTTTTGCTTAGCTGATAAGCAAATTTTGATCCGCAAAACAGAGATGATAAATGTGCAAACCCACCATGACTTTTTTTGTTACTTTTAAAATAAAACCTTGCTCTAGAAGATATCTTTGTTCCTCATTTTCTGCAAAGCATGTGTCTAACTAGAGAAAGTGAACGCACTGCATCTTTAATTGTACTTTTTAGAATCTGACAGAGGAAACAACTCTTCTTGTTCATGACTTCTCCCCCTTCTTTAGCTCTTAAAACACTTGCTTCCAAAAAGAGGCTTTGATACCAACCTGATGCACACTGTTGTGGTACCCTGAAAGTTGTTTTGTGAATAATTTGGACATGATCACACTGAAGTCCATAATATATAATGGAAGAAACAAAGTATATGGCTGGGGGTTGAGGGGTTTCTGAAAGATTGAGAAGAACCACGTAGACTTTGCTGTGTTTGCGTGCCTTGGCTTGATCTAATGTAGGGAGTGAGGGCTAGAATTCCTCTTGTTGATCCAACCTAGTGGTTGTTTTCTTAGCCCAAGTTCTACCAACAAAAGGAAAAAACTAATTAACGACACCCATATACAGATTTTTCCATTTTGGGACTTGGGGTAAGGAGCAACATAAAATCACATATGGCAAACATGCCATTGTCCAAATGTTGGACAAAGGTACAAAATTAAGGAGACAAGAAAATACTAGGGCAAATATCCTAAACCAAAGAACTGTAATAATGGAATAGACCAGTTATCCTCTGGAACAGTATCTTGCCTCCAAAAGTGCTTCATAGCAGATGCTTCAGATAGTCACCTGAATGTATTTGCTATAATAAAGGTGGGCAGGTTATCCTCTTTGACCCTGATGTTAATTTAATCTGTTAATTCTGACATTTAGTCTTTATGAGCTGTAATGAATTTATGTAGGGCTCCTAACAATGTCTATCATTATTATTCATAATTTGATTTTCTGATGTTAATAACAGATGGTAATAAAGAAGTGGGAAATCCTATAACTAATAGGGCATGTCTACACAGCATTGCTAAAGTTGATACAAGCTAAACAACTTGAGCTATGTCAATTGCATAGATTAATTAGAAATAGCTTATTTAGGGTTTTTAGTGCTGTTTACATATCAGGAAGTATGAGAGCACTCTTCCTCCAATTTCCCTTACCCCTCATACAATGAGGCTGTGTCTACACTGGCCACATAACCCGTAATAGCTATGGAAATGAGAGAAGTCAGAATAGGGAAATGCGCGGGGCATTTAAATATCCCCCGCGGGATTTAAATAAACATGGCCGCTGCTTTTTTCCGACTTGGGGAAAGCCGGAA